GTAGGAGACTTTCAAGTCTGATGTTTTCGAACTAGATGCCAAAGGGGGAGATTGAAAGATATTTTATTTTGGCATTAGTTCGATAGTTCGAACAAGCACCTGGAACCACAGAATAAAAAGGGAAGATCTTTACATATTATATTTTCTTAAGTAATATTGTTTTATATTCCGTATGTAAGTCCATGTAGATCTTATTACGGTTTTTATATGACAGGTAATTGCACGAGGAGAGATAAAGAAGAAGGAGAAAAGAGACATGTTTGGAGAGGAGATTAATGAGAGAGAAGAAAAGATTTCTTACCAAAGATATGCCATTATCTTGGAAGGAAATCTTATTTGAAGTCCTATGCCTTGTAGAAGACTCCAACCCTAAGGAGATCATATAAATACCCTAGAAGAAGCTTATGACGGCCGTGGTTTTTTTACTGAGAATTATTCTAGAGCCATACAAGCTTTATTCGCTTTCAGTTCTAGTTTGATTGTATTCAGTTCAGTCTAAGAGTTCTTACAAACTCAAGGACTAGTACTGCTTTCGTTTAATTCTTTAGACATTTCATCAAAACTACTTTACGGTTTGTACACTTAGGGAATAAGTGTAGGTGTTTAAGTCCACGGGACGTGGCCGGAGGATTAGTTGATAGGATCAAGTAGTGTTGGCTAGATTTGAAGGGAGTTCGAATCTTTGTAAGTCCAAGCTATGTATACGAGTGATCTATCAATGAAAGAGCTCTGAGGGGAAGTGGGACGCTTCCCTGAAGAATTTATTAATCTTCGGTTATTTACTTCCGCATTTTACAATTCTTATTGTAGTTCGTACTAATACTCGCGCACTCCGTGACAAATATACGTTTCAAAAATAATTAAACAACAATATTTCTGTATCGGGACTTCCACAAAGGAATGTCATAAATAAATTGACTTCCAGCAAGATTGCAACACACATTATTCTCACGGATAGATTAATCTTGGGCAATCAACAAGGAGTCCCTAATTAGTTGAATAAAATAACTGCAGAACGGGTATCAAAGTACTTGGGAAATGCTTTACCTATTGCACAAATCTTCAGGCTACATGAAGTGAAACAGCGCTAGGCGAGGATTTGTTGTCTGACATGAGCTTGAGTAAGTAGCAGAGGACTATCAACGGAAAACCCACAAGCGAGAGGCTGAAGGCGCCGGTGATGATAGGGCCAAGAACCCCTCTTTCCTCCGCCATTGTATCAGTTATCGACTTGTCGTCTCTTTTCCGAAAATAAAAATCGCATCTTTTTCAAATTCGGAAAAATCGTGCCATTGATTCAGCATTCCGGCCACCAGAATCAGAGACGACAATAGCTGGTTTCACTGATGTGAAAAATGAACTGAAGTATTAATGAACAAGTCGCTTTGGCCGAGTGGTTAAGGCGTGTGCCTGCTAAGTACATCGGGTTTCCCCGCGAGAGTTCGAATCTCTCAGGCGACGTTAATTTTTTTAAAAAAGAAAAAATCTTTTGTCCTTTTTTACAACTTTTANATTAATATTAGAGTTTTCAAGTTCGAAGCGCCTGAGACATATAATTTTATGAATTCTCTAATCACATCATTAATGATAACAACATATGGAGCTTAAAAGATTAAATCACGTTAACAAAAATTAAAAAAAAAAATAAAGACAGTTCATTTCATGGAAAAGAAATTCGAGTGAATTGGATAAGATAAATGCCAAAAGCTGCTACCTTTTTAACCTTTGTGTTCGTTGTGGGAAGACATGGAAACGGAAGTGTAGGAAGTAGGAATAATAATACAACATTGGATGTGACAAAAAAATGAATATGTTAATTTTAGAGTTGTTAAATGAAATGGGTTGTTCATAAGTCTAGTTTAATTTAATTAAATTCAATTTATTTATATAATTTAATTAAACATTATTATGCTAATGAGTTGTTCCTAAGTCCACTTTAATTCAATTAAATTCAATTCATATATATATCATCATCAATTAAACATTACTAGTACAGAGCCCGTGCAATGCACGTGGTGCATAATTTTAAGACTGTTTATCCAGGCTTATAATTATATACATGAATAAAGAAAAATGTACGGGATATATATAGTACGTGACCCATGCGAAGCACGAGATATATTTATTTGGATATATTATATTATAAGATGCAATATTCAATAAAAGTTTATAATACGCAAAAATTGTACAATGTTCAATAAAAGTTTTATAATATTCAAGTGGAGTCTTAAAGTCTCTTGTACATTAAGACTACTGGCAAAATAATATTTAATCAATGAGTTCCCTTTTCTTGTAGCCAAATTGTGAATGTGATTTGAAGAGTACAACAACTTGATATTTAGCTGACTTACTATTTTCATTGTAGTTTTTTTTCTTTTTTTTTATAATGAATTTAAAGATATTCTAAAATATAGCAAAAATTAATTTTTTATTAGAATTAGGAATTTTACTAAATATAAACTCTCAATCTATGGTGATAATCAACGTTTAAGTCTAAAAAATTAAGAATTTTTACCTCTTTAATCAACGTTTAAGTCTAAAAAACAATAGAGTTATTATAAGTTTTTTTTCTACATCTTTTAAAACATTAAATATGAGCATGTTAGGACTAGCTTGTAAAATAATTAATATATTATCTCACTAAAACATTTATACTAATAAAAATTTAATTTTAGCATATAAATTTATCCCTTGATATAAGAGAAAGTAACAGTTTTACTTCTTGTTGTTCACCATATAATATTTAATTATTATTTATTATATAATAAAAAGGAAATATTGTTAAATAGTGTAGTAGAATTGTTATAAAATTATATGATTTTTTTTTACAATATAGATTTAATATTTTTTTATGATTTGATAATATAAACAAATTTATACTTAACTTTGACAAATAAAACAAATAAATACTTTAGTAAGTATTTAATGTATATACTAAATAGGAATATATTTGGTATAATCAAATACCAAATATAATCAAATAAGTCAAAGTGCACATTTTTATTTGGTATTTGATTTTTTTATTATTAAAATATTTTTATTGTACTTACTTTTTTAAAATAAAATAAATAAATAAATTAATTAAATAAATAAAATATTATAATACCAAAATAGTAATGACATTTAATGCAGTTGACTTTTCTAGATAGTAAATATAGTAAATAGAATCTCCTTTTATATAAGTATAGATTGTATAATACGGAAATAGTAATGCAATAGATGTTGTTGACTTTTCTTTATACTAAATCTGGTAAATGGTATACCTTTTAATATAAGTATAGATTATGCTAACAAGTTAGACTCTTTGAGAATTAGAAATATAATTTTTCATGTAATTTTCCTAATGAAGTTTAATTTGACAAATCAGACTTGAAACTTTAAGTTCGAGCTGAACACATTTTACATTTACTTCGAAAAGATGTTAAAAGGAATTAGCCAAATGATAATGAGTTTTCGGTCTAATACTAAACTACCACAAGATTGTTGATAGAATTATTTGCCAAAACATTTGTTTTGGATAAGGGATTGGGTTTCAAACTTAGTATGTGGTCGCGCGTTGCGACGCGGCAAATTTAAATTTCTAAAAGTTTCCTCAACTAATCTCTACTAACTAGTAGTAGCGGCGGGTAAGGGTCGATCATACGAGGAGTAGGAACTAAATCGTGATAATTCTCGTATTAATTGAATTTAAACTAAGAAAGCAGTAAAATGGGGTGATCGGTTTAATAAAAATATAACTAAAAATGAAATAATAAAAATCAAATAAAATAAGAGAAGTTCCAGTTTTCGGTTCAATTATCACATAATCTAAATCTACCGTTAATCAATTTTGACGTTGTCTTTAAATTGCTAATGAATTATCAACCCTAGCTAACAACAAGCTCTGTTAACCGAATTTTTCCTTACCGAATATTTAATCGAAATAAGTTTTTCGACTAAACTTAACTAGTGGACAACCTAGAATAAGCTCTCTAGATTTAGTTCATTAGCAGCATTAATTTCTAGGAAAATAGATTAGTCTAAGCAACGGTCGCAAAAGCTCGAACCATTTAACTTATGTTCACGCTACCCTAGAGATGCACGGCCGCTAGTTTACTACTAACGAAACGAGACAATAACAATTACGGATCAAAGTCCCGAATCTAGCAATTAAACTATGAATATTTAACGTAGTTGGCCAAACCAAATCAAACACTCATAATTCATAAACATTATACACAGGTAGCATGAATCAACTCATCAACAAAATAAATACGATGTTTCGATTAACTAACGATAAATAGAGATCATCCAATTCATAGACAAATTCAAGTTAGGGTTCAAACATCTCCTTAAACTGGATAAAATAACTAGCTTAACATACTAATAAAAATAAGTAAAAGATAGATAAAAGAGAAAGCATATATCTCCCTCGTGCGGGTTCGGCCTCCCTTCGCGTGTAGTGCTCTTTATTCGGCTACTGCTCTCGCCTCTGTTTTTTTTTTTCTTCCGTGCATTTGTTTTTCTCCCTGTGCGTGGCGTTAATCTTTTTTCTGCCTAAGTGGAGTTCCTCAAATAATTCTCCTAAGCAAGTATATATTCACGGTCAAAGAGTTCTCCCCCAATTAAACTCTTCTCCAATCAAAGTGTGTAGCCCTGCTGCTTGGTATTTTTTCTTTGCAAAAAATGTAGAAGAGCTAATGAAGAATAACAGATAAAGTTTCAAAAAGAAGACAAACCAAGGCTAAAACAAATAAATAAAGAAGCTAGAAAGACCATATGCAAAAGTATCTAACCACTCAGATGACTTTTACTCACAGGAATTCACAAGAACTTATTCATTATTATCTATACAAGATGCAGTTTTCCTTCTCACCTCTGCTGCCTTGAAAGAATATGACCATAATACCCCTACTACAGTGTACACAAACTCTTGCCATATATTTGGTTTCCACATTACTAAATCCATTTAAATTCTTACCAATCACTTGAAGAAAAAAAAACTCTTATTTTTAGTTTCTTCACCTCAAAACTGTGTCCTGTGAAATGACTTGTCCAAACTTGAGAAATAGCTGAGCATCTGAGGTGCTTACTGATGAAGAGTTGAGCAAGTGAGTCTCCTTGTGATTCGCATATTCATCCACGTAACACTGGACTTGGACGAGTGGGGCCTGCATGTGTGATGAGGTCGTGAATGGCTTAGTCGTACGACCTCATGCATGCTCGGTCGCTCGGCTGGCTGTCCTTTCGTGCACAGCAGCGCCAGCGGTCCACCGTGTCCATAACTGAATTTGTTAGTTAGAATAGCAAAAAACCTTTTACTATCCCAACTTGCCATTAATTAAAAGGGAAAAAAATATCAAGAAAAAACAGACCAGATGATGGAGATTGGATTCGTGATCAACCGGTTGAGCAACTCGAAAAGCACGATGCCATAGCTGTAGACATCGGATTTCTCGGTTAGACGAGCGTATTCGGGATCGATGGTTCCCGTTACGTAAGTCGAGGTGTGGGTTTTAGGTGGGCACAAGCTCTTGGCAATGCCGAAATCCCTGTCGAGCAAAATGTTGGAGGATTTAACGTCTCGGTGGATGATCCGTGGGCTGCCCTCATGGTGCAGGTAGGCCAGCCCCTGTGCCGAACCCAGTGCTATACGGAGCCGAGTGGGCCAATCGAGTTTTTTCTTATTCCTGAAATATTTTTTTTTAAATTCTTTTATGGAAAATTTTGAATAACCCTGAAGACGAACTAGGTTTTGAATGCGTGTGGGAATAGTTTTTTTTTTATGGCCACTGGCCTGCAGTTTTTGAGCACGCATTTGTAGACGGTGCTCGATGCCCCACAACCGATAATGTACTTCTCACTAAGATTCTCGGTCATAGAGTGCCATGTTCTTGTGAAGGATAACGAGCTTCGGGGATGAGTAATTAACTGTCACAGGTTAAAAGTAGTGACAACGGAGAGAATCCCAATTTGAAAACATATGCTTTAAATGCTTCACTTGGAAAATGAACCAGAATTAACCTGGCTTGTCGAGTGGTCCATCGGAAAACGATTTTGGATTGTGCGGCCAACAAGCAGAGATTAAGATCATAAGAAGAATAACCAAATCCACCAAGAGCTATTCCAAGTGTAGCTGCTTTAGAGATTGAAACTGCAAAAATGTTTATTGACCGAACGAAAAACATTAGCATGTAAAGATGTTATAATGACCATCATTTTTACCAACGGCTGAACGATCTTGATGACAAGAAAAGCTCATCCAATAGCCATAAAGACCTGGATTGCCCAAGAAACTGGAAGGAGAGGAAAACAAAAAAGATGAACTTGAAATGAACTATTGTAATAGTACCTGTCAGGGGAAAACCTAGGGAAGTTGCTTCCCGTAGGAATATATCCGACGAGGTTGTTGTACGATACATTACTGTAACAACATGCAAATCTTAGGTTCTGAAAATATTATCAAATTGAGGCCAAAATTATGATCAACTTAAAAGAACTTACTTCAAAACCATGAGGTTAAATAAATGTTAACAACACTCGCACTCATAGGTATTGTAAAACCTCATTCCAATACAACTGTCCGGGTATTTCTCCACTTAGCTTGTTCAGACCCAAGTCCCTATAGTATCAAATTTGACTCGACTTCATCTAAAAACAATCACAATAATATATACTGCAACTACACGAAAGTGAGAAAAAATTATTATACTCACAGTATTTTCAGATTAGGAATCTGAGAGAGTGTTGAGGGAATCGGACCAATTAATTGATTATTTTTCAAAATCCTGCCGACAGTAATAAATGTGAAGCTAGTAAACAACCTTGAACACAAATCTCAGTATATTCAAAATATCCTCAAGTATAAGACAACTGGTCCATAGCTCACTGATAATGCAAACAATAACAGTTGCATAAGAAAATAATTACACTTCTGATCTAACTTACAAGTTCTCAAGTTGCTTCACCTTTGAAATGGAGAAGGGGATATCACCATATAGTCCCTAATACAGAAGCAATCAATATTCAAAATGGGCTCAATGAACCAATGGACATGTTATCAACTGCCATTATAAATTCACTTTCTAACAGTGACTTACAAACTTTTCAAAGCTCAACAGTCTCCAATCTCATCTGGGATTTGCCCAGATAGCATATTACCCCTTAAATTCTAGTATTTGCAGGAAAAAGTAATAATTAAACTTAACGCGTATAAGAACAGAATCATTTTACATTAAGAGCAGGGCTTTAAGCTGTCCAATTGCAGGTGCCCCAACAAGGTTCAACCCTGAAAGATTACTGAAATGTAGGTACACAATAAGGAATCTTAATGTACAAAAATTGAATCTTTAACAGCAGTTACAGGGGAAAGTGGAAACTTACAGGGAAACAACATTGAAGGTGACGTTATCACACATAATCCCTCTCCAAACACAATAATCTAAAGCTGGGGAGTCAGTCCAATCATACAGCACATTATCCATATCTCTAAATGATTTCTTCATCTCAAGCAAAATCGACCCTTTTTCAGCAAAAAGAAAATATAACTATAATATACAGCTTACGACTTATGTTAAAGATAAAAGAACTAGTTTGAGGGCTACAGAATAAGACAAAGGCGCAAGATTTAGCTGGGACAACGACGTGCTTATGAAAATAAAGACAAACAAACTGAAACTTCTCTTCAAAAGTAAAATAGTAATCAAATGATTAAAAATTTAAAATATAATGCTCCAAAATCTACACTAAAAAATAAATAAGCCAAGAATCCCAAAAGAGAGCCAAAAGGCAAAAGGTCCAAAAACTACCAACAACTCACCATCATCGCCACAGTTCACAGTGACAAAGCTCAAAAACACAACGAGAAGCCCAGCAAGAACACATTTTTCCCAACACTTAGCCATAACCCACTTCACAAAAAATCAAGAACAAGCAGAACACTTAAAATACTAAACTTGCTTGAAAAAAAATGGAAGATACATAAAACAAGGGATTATTCAAAAAGGCCAACTTGACATAAAAATGTTTACAGAGGAGAGCATGAAGAAAGAACAAAAAATAGTGGAACGAAATTTTCAAAATCTATTTAAAGATTGTTGAGAAAATGTTTTTGAAGGAAAAAAGAAAGACAGAGCTCTTGGGCTTTTTAATGTCCAGTCACATCGTTCTGGCTCAAAGCTTGACTTGCAGAATGTGTGTGTGTGTGTGTGTGTGTGTGTGAGAGAGAGAGAGAGAGAGAGAGATGGCTATGTGGAGAATTAGAGATCAAGGGAATTATTTGAAGAGGGAAAAAGTTAAAACACCATCTGCAAGATTCTGATACTAATAACAGCCCAGCCCTGCAACAAATAAGGTACAGCTTTTTTCTTCATGTTTCTTTTAAATTTTGTAGGTAAAAAGAAAATCTACTAAATATAAAAGTTGCCTCTTTTTTCTTCATTCTTCCTTTTAATTTTTATATAAGGTTTATGAGCCTTCCACACACATAACAAAATGCTGTTTTTCACACAAAGATGAAAGCTAAAGCCAGAACTCAATCTTTCCTTCCCACAGCTAACAATTTAACACTTTTCCTACTTTACGAACAAAAACTATTCACATTTTGGTGTAAATTTTCATATCATGCACACATAGCAAGGAAACTGCATACAGTAGCTAAATACCTTTTCCCTTGCTATTTTGTCCATTTCCGGTAAACACTTGCTGAGTAAATTTTGAACTTTTTCACATTTTGTTTTGAGATTCGTTATGGACTTGTTGCTTGTGCTAATCTGTTTACATCATTTATTTCTGTTCTTAAGTCTTAACAGAAGGGCATTTGCATCGTTGCATGATAAGTAATTGAGTGCAATTAAGATTTTACCTTCACTTTTTTCTGCCTGTAACTTTGCTAGCTAAGCAAGACCTAACTGGATCAATCGGGGGCTAAGCCTAAATTGGAAATAACTAATTGAATTATCCTAAAAGTTTAAAAAATTCATAAAAACTCATATTTATCAAGTCCAAGGAGTCTTTAGTGAATTCGAAATTCTTATCATGAGAGGTATCTTTCGTTTGAAAGCTCCCAATTGAACATATAATATCTTATCCCATCACTTTTTCTTCTATGTTGTTTCTTTTCCCATGCATGCATTTCAAAATCTAAAGCAATTCTACGAAAAATATCACATGCCCTATATGGTATGAATTTCATGACCTTTCTAGTATAACTAATTAATAAGTATGAACAAATAATAAACACAAGTTTCCATTTTTTATCACTGTATGCCCATAGGGCATGCTATATGGTAGCTAAGGTCTTGTACTATGACAGAAGCACAGCAAATTTGTCAAATCCATTAATTAATAATACATATGAGGTATTGTTTGTAGAATTTAATTGTATAAAATATACTCCATGTAATAGCCTAAAATGCCGCCACTCTACGTAGTGCTGAACTACCAACTAGCAACAAGAGAAAAATACATAGTGAAACTCAATTTAAAAGAAATTATGATCATTAATTAATTATATTAAAAAGATCCCAAACTCTTATCTCTACGCATAAGGTAGAGTTTAGTGTTGCGCAACACTATTTATATCTCTAATTTGATATTCATTGTAGCGACTATTAGACTTGCTGTAATGAAAATGTTTGAGTTATTATTGGTCATAATAGTTGAGCTTTTATAACACTAAACCAAACTCACTTGACAAAATAATTAGAATTGAATGAATCCTTCATGGAGAGTTTGGCAAGAAGTCATGAGAATGGTGGTTTTGAGTCCATTTGTATCTGGGATACACCTTGGCACACCCCCTTTCAAACCAAACTGCCATTTAAGAGCAAATTCAGAGCAGGTCAAAGGGCTTGGGACCATGATCTTATCCTACAAACCTCAGGATGGTACCAAAATCTACCAGCTGCTAATTAATGTTCCTGATAGACTTGTTTGGAAAGAACAATTACCTCTGAAACCTAAGATAAAGAACTTTGGCATGAATATACCAGTACAAATGCTCAATTGTGTAAGAAAGGTATGTTGGTTGATCTTATTTGCTCTGGTTGTGGTGATGAGGTGGAGGATTTGAATCATGTGTTGTTGGGAATCATGTGCTAAAGCTAAAAGATAGATGTTGGAAGATTTGTGGTTTGCAATGGGGGGATGAAAATGATAATCTTATTTGTTTTCAAAACTGGTGGCTTAACATATGTGTTGCTGGGAAGATAGAATTGAAAAAAGAAAGACTGAGCTTGTCTGCTACCTGTGTTGATGTGGAAGGCAAGGAATAAATGGCTGTACATGAAAGATATCTAGTAGAAGAAGCTAGGGCAGAATGGCTGGAGAGACCAGACTGCGACCAATGGAAAAAGCTCTGATGGCTCCCCAACAACATGACAATTTTCCCCAATAAGTAGGTAAGTCTATATTGACTATCAGTGCTGTTGGTGGAGTGAGTGAGATGCCTGGTTGAGAATTGAGATCATGGGTCATAGCAAGGTTCAGTGTACTTGAAGGAACAACTTGTGAGGATGACAGTGTATCATTGCAGCTCTACTGTGGACTATGAGAAAGGCTAAAGACATGCAGTTTACCATGCCCTCATCTTGTCCATAAACAAATCCGTCGCTTAAATGTGCTAATATTATTATTTATATCGTCTAATGGCACAAGATAAGATTAACGTTATCATATTCAATGGGTATCTGACATAAAAAGTCCAAAAAAGAATATTATTTATATCATCTAATCACTAAATATGTAAGAAATAATATACATCAGAATCATCAACACTGAATAGGAGAATGTCCAATGATCAAATGCAAATCCTTTTTTCATTGGGGCCAACTGATATTTCAGCCAACGCAAATAGTTCCAACAACAAAGCATTAACATTCACACCAACGCAAACGTGACCAGAAAATAGCACTGACCTATATGTATGTTAAATATCTATCTATTAATTAAACAGCTACAACAATTATGAACATCAGTCAAACAAATGAAAAGAGAATAAAAAAGAACCTTGTACACCTCAATGAACTTCTGCTCGGGCACACTGATATTTCAGCCACGAATACCAAGCTCATAGAAAAAAAATTTCACTATATTACAATCTATTAAAGAATTTAATTTATTATATCATGCTGGTACGAGGCTGTTGAATATGCGCTTCAAGCTCGGGCACGACGCACGTAACCTCGCCATGCTAGCTGTAGATATCTGCCAAAGAGTAATAATAACTCATCAATCAAATGTAAAAATGTTCGGTTTCACACCCAATCGTACGTTAATTAGGTATTTAGGTAATACCGACAAAAACTTTTACTTGAGGTTTGCGATTTTAGAAATTTAATCGAGGAATTTTGCAATTCGACTAAACCTCGAGGGCACTTTTTTCTTATATGACCCTGAAATGAACCTGTGTGCTCTGTGTGGAACATGTAATTTCCTTACCACCATTGGGCAAAAGCGGATATCGAGTGTTTCGAGCATGTTACAGTCCCTTATGGCAGCTTCAATGGCATCCTCGTTGATGTTACAGGACTTGTTAAGTAACAAAATAGATGAAAAGAAGTTAGAGAGTCAGTGTCATAAAATAGGCAATTTTTTTCATCATTACGAAGTAAATTAAATTTAGAAGCATACCTGAAGAAAAAGACTGCTCAATTTTGGACAGTGGAGCTTCAGAATCTCCAAGGAGTAGCAATTGCTGAACAAAGGTAATATATATACAACCATTAGATATGACCATATTAGTGTTAATTCCAAATTATTCCCCTTAGCCAGGGGGAAATTTGAAAANAAAAAAAAAAAAAAAAAATAGAAACCAGTCCCAACTGGTTATTTCTTATTTGAAATTCTTTCTTATTTTAAGACGTACCTCAAATTAAGAACTAACAGATTACGACATGATAAGTCGACCTTCCTCAGGTTGGACGAGAGGGAGAGATTTAACGTCGACAGGTGTACGCATCCCGCCATACGAGGAATAACCACTTTCTTGATATTCGGGCAGCCAACACAATTCAAGTTCTGCAGCAACCGATTTGCTTGGTCCACATCTTCTGGTAAAGACTCGTCTGATCCAGAAATAGTGTTCCTTGAAGAAAAATTCTCCATTCGGGATCCCCATTCCAAATCGTGCATGTTGACACAACCGTTCAGGCTAATGTGGGTCAAACGTTCACAGCAAGCGAGTAATTCTTCTATTGCCGACTGACAAAGGGAGTCGTAAGACAAGTCGAGTTCAAAGAGTGATGGAAGGGCATTGCCTTTGTAGAGAGGCTCCAAAGATGTGTCGCTAAGGTATTTGCATGCTTGCAGTTTCAGAACCTACAAAATGAATTATGATTCAATAGTTAGGTTAAAAATCATGAAAAGTCGACTGACACCGCATAAATCTGAGTGCTTGAAATAAATATTTTCAATTGCGCCTTATATGTATAAGGAAGATGGAACAATTAAAAGCGGCAATGGATAAAGAAAAACTTGAGTGGTTTTTTAGGGCGTGCTTGGATTAAAATATATCCGTTCGAAATAATTTTATTTTTTTATTAACCATAGTTAGTTTTGAAAAAGGTGGTATAGTTAGATGTTAGGTGGATTTAAGTTTATATTAAAATAATATTTCAAATAAAATAATTAAAGTTGATTTGATGTAAAAGTAGGAGATAGATTATATGAAGTGATAATTAGTTAAAATTATGTGAATGAATGAATAGTGAATTAAAATTGATATGATGTGCAAGAATGTTTGATTGGGGTATTATTTAATTATATTGGTAACATTGAGGATAGTGAGGTTGAGTTAGAATTGAGTTAATCTATTACTATATAATACGGAAAAGAAAAATTATTTGAACAATCCGAAAAAAATCATTTCGTTTTCCCGCTTCAATATAGTGTTTTTCCCCCTTCT